TATTAATTATTAAAACAATAACTTTTTATAACCCTTCAGTGTAGCCCAGAACAACCATCTTCTACATTCTTTTAGTCAAGTGGTTTGATCAATACTCACTGACCCTGGAGATAAAAGCACAACAGGCTTTCAAAATGTAATAATGGGCACAATAATTAAGTGGGAATTAAAAGAGATGATTAAAGGGAAGGAGCACCTCTCCTATAAGGAAAGGCTGAGAGAGTTGTTCAGCCTGTAGAAGAGAAGATTTGGGGTGACTTAATTTTGGCCTTTCAGTACCTGATGGAAGCCTACAAGAAAAATGGAGAGAGACTTGTGACAAGAGTTGGGAATGACAGGACAAGGGAGAATGGCTTCAAACTGAAAGAAGGCAGGATTAGATGGGACATTGGAAAGGAATTGTTCCCTATGAGGGTGGTGAGGCCCTGGCACAGGTTGCCCAGAGAAGCTGTGGCTGCCCCATCCCTGGAAGTGTCCAAGGCCAGGTTGGACAGGGCTTGGAGCAACCTGGGCTAGTGGAAGGTGTCCCTGCCCAGAGCAGGGGGTGGGACTGGATGGTCTTTAAGGTCCTGTCCAACCCAAACCATTCCATGATTCCATGATCATTCTGGGAATACTCTCAGCATTATTTAAACAGTTCAAGTGCACAGAGCCCTGTGGGTCAGGCCCTGCCCTTGGCTGCTCCCCCTCCCTTCCCAGTGCAGATTTCGGGTGCTCAGGATCCCATGCTGGGCAGGGCAGGGCAGTACTCACAGAGAAGGCCAGCTTTTCCAAGAAGTGGGAGATACCACTGAGGTATTTTGCTTCGTGTCTTGATCCCGAATTCACAAGAACTGGCGTTAAGAAGAATAAATCAGTGTAACTTTTACACCTCCGGTCCTTACACAGACACTCGGCTCCGGGGGAGCCGTGGTGTCACCACCCCTGGCCCCTCCAGGTACTCACTGCCCACGGTGCAGAACTGCCCGAACTTGTTCTGGGAGGCGACGCGCAGCCCGTTCTCCAGCACCGTCACCCTCGTCTCGAAGCGCTCCCGGCCCTCGGCGGCCGCGAACACGGCCTTGGGCACACCGGGAAGCGGGCACGTCAGCGACACGCTGGGGTAGGCTCCGCCGCCGCTGTAGCTCCGCCCGGCCGCCAGCCCGCACCTGGGGACACCGGGGACATCGTCGGGATGTGCGGGGACACCGCGCCGGCAGCGCCTCCGCCAAGGCCGGCACCGAACGCTGCGCGCCCCAGGGCCGGCACCCAGCGCTGCCCGCCTTCCCCCGCGGTGCCGGGCGCTGTCCCCTCCCCGGGCGGTCCCCTCGCGGTCCCCAGCGCCATCCCCCGCCCAGCCCGGTGCCCCCGGGGCCGCGCTCACCGCCGAGCCGCCCCGCGGGCTCCGCGCCGCAGCCACGCCATGGCCGCCGCCATCTTGCCGCCACCCGGGACCGCCGGGTCACGTGGGCGGGGCCGCGAGGGGAAAGGGGCGTGGCCGACCCTGCCGCTCGCTCGCTGAGTGGCCCGTCCCGCTGGGGAGGCCCCGCCCCGCGGAGCCCTCAGGCTGCCATGGCGGCGGAGCCGCTCCCGGGGCCGCTCCCGGCCGAGCCCAACCCCTTCTCTTTCCGAGAGTTCGTCCGCACCAAGGCCCGCGGCGGCGGGGCGGGCGAAGCCCCCCAGGTAAGGCCCGCGGCGGCGGCGCGGCTGGGTCCTGCCCTGCCTCAGCGCCCTCCTCAGCCCTGCTCTCCCCTGCGCAGGCGGCGCCGCCCGGGCCCGTCGCGCTCCCGCTTCCCGCAATGCCCACAGAGGTGGGGGGTGAGGAAGAGGAGGAGGAGGAGGAGGAGGAGGAAGAGTGGAGCGAGAGCTACCAGCCGCTGGCCGTGGAGCGGGCCCACCTCGCTGCCGCCGGACCCGCCTCGCCCTCCGCCGGCTCCTTCTGCTTGGCCGCCCCCGGAGCCCCCCCGGGCCCGGGCTGTGCTCCCTCACGGCAGCCCAGCTACGAGCAGGTGAGCGCTGCCCGCCCCCCGGCACCTTCGCTGTCGGGCGAGCCCTGGGCTGGGTGTCCGCTGGTTGCAGGACTCGGTGTCACAGCCCGCTGCCTGAAGAGAAGCTGAGGCAGAGAGGCAGGTCTGGAAAAGCGCTTTTCAGCATGAGTCAGGTCCAGCGCCTTCCCTGCCCTTCTGCTCTGGGTATGACCCAGGTGACTTCCTAGTGCTCCTGCCCCTGGAGGTCACGTTAATTTAGAATTGGCAGTGTTTAATTAGTCACATCTTGCACGGGTTGCTCAGTGCCACCCTCCTGTGCCCCATGGGGTCAGTGAAGTGGTTTCCAGAGAGGAAAACTTGAGTGCAAAATTAAGCATGAATGTATTAGAAAGTGCAAGAATTCCTAGCATTAAAGCTGAATATTTTGGTGTTGGAGTGTTTGTAATGTTGTGAAACAGCACCCTCAATCCTAATGAGAATGTTTCCTTTTTTAGCTGAAAGAAGAGAATGCCACTTTGAGAAGCAAGATCAGTAAACTTCAAATTCTCTCTGAAACCCAAGCAGACAAGTGCGTAAGACACAGTGTGGGGGAAATAACCATCCAAGGAGCTGGATTAAAAGAGGGGCTCACTGGGAACAGTGTCCTTAAAGAAATAAAATGTAGTTGAAAGCTATGCTATTTATTAAGAAAAGCATTAGCAAACCTGGTTTTCTTACTGGGAAAGTCTTGAAAACCAAGTATCCAGCTGACATCTGATGTGTTTGTGTGGCCTGTGCTTCATGCAGTGCAAGTGGTGGGTGAGAACAAGGGCAGGGCTCAACAGGATGCATTTCAGAAAGCTTCAGATTAACAAAATAATAAATATTCATCTCTCTCCTTTGAAGCGAAAAGAATAGATTTTATTTTTGCTGGTGAGCAACCTGGGAGACCTGAATTTCCTAAGGTTAAACAACCCGGTGACCCAGCTGGGGTGGCAGTTTCTTCAGGTCTGAATCTGATGGATGTGGAACAGAGAAATCCCCTGAGCCACAGCCTAGAACTGGAGCTCTGTGGGAAGAACTGATTTTTCTTATAAAAGAATGAGTTTCTTGATCCTTACTCGATCTATAGAATTTTCTTCCTAAAGTATTTAACTTTACAAGCACTTACTGTACATCTCTTTTTTTAAGGATGAGGA